GAAGAGGCGACATTTAAATTGGCATCACAGGTAGTTCGAACTTCAAACCAATTATCCATTATTTATTTGATTTTTATTTTATAAAAGTCCAAAGACTTTATTCATATTAATACAAATAGATTAAAATTATTAAAGCGACATATTTAAACTGTTTTTAAATTCTTTTTTTACAAATTTCAATTTATACCAAACGGAGGGTGGCTTATATGATAAAATTTTCTGTCGCACACGTCTGTTGTACGATAATCATCTCAGCATTGTACTGCGCATTTATCGTAGTAGACACAAACAAAAACTTTATTTATTAGAACGAATTCAAATGCAAGAAAAAACATCTCATAAAAGGTTTATCACTAGTACTTTAAAAAGGATAATAAATCACAATACATCTTGATCTCGTGAAATGCGCATTTATACAAATCTAAAAAGCATTCACATAAGATAAAATTTACTCTACATTCTTAGCATCATCCTCCTAAAGTAAGTCAACTAAACACAACTGCACTATTGTCAAGCAGATATTTCCCATTGTGAAGTGTATCATGTTTGTGAATTGGTTTGGTTCTAATGCATATAGGCATTTTTATTTGTCGTTCCATTCTATGATTATATTTTATTTGAAGGATTACCGACAATAGTCATCCTCCTAAGCCATAACATACCAATTTTGGGGTATACGTTCCTTGAATTTAACAAGACATTTGTAGATTTCAATTTCTTTTATCATTCAAAATTTGCTAAAAGTCTTCAATGCTTTTGTTTGTCCATAGTAATTTGCATCGGTAAGTTCCTCTAGCCTAAATGAACCTAACTACTAATTCTGAAATCAAAACCTGCTTCCATTGTATCCCAAGTTTTCTTGATATCAGAAGAAGATCCGGATAATATCTAAAGACATAACGAGGATTGCTCATTCTAGGCATTTGGCCACATTGAGCTTGAAAATGATCCGTAATAAAGTCGTAACGATACCATATAATTGTTAATTAGTTCTATTACAGTATGTAGAGTCAATTGAATTCCTCTTTCAGGTCTTCATTACCAATTTGCATCAAACTTACTACAACGACGTGTCTCTTGATTTCGAATGCCAAATTTGGCTCACTAAACTATTTAAAACGTATAAAATTACCGGAAATGATTACGAATTCTTTATACATAATGTTATATTGTACTAGAAATATCGTAAAAAAAAAAAAATATGACGTTTTTTTTTAAAAAAGTTAATGTATCTTAATGTAATTCTCAACAATTGATAAAATCATACGACACTAACATTTTGCATTTATAATTTAGTATTAACCGGAGAAAACAAAGGATTTTATCACGTTTTATCTAAAGGAATTAGCAGCTAGAATTTCGCAGTCACGCCATAGTTTTATTTATATTAATAACTGGTAAAGTAAAACTTTTTTTTTGCTATGATCGAATCAGGAAAAAAAAATTTTTTTTTTTAAAAGACGTTATCAGAACGATAACAAATTATAACGAACCATGTCGTAAGTCCTAACTTAATAAGTAAATTTATATAAATTATTTCTATTTCATTTTACCGACTTTCCTTGACACCATCACTAAAACTTTCATCAATTTATATCCTGGTACAAATTTTCGATTTAATTGTTTAAAAGGATATGACAAGGAGGCTTTTTTATTTATTTAAATGATTGTTTCTTTTAAAAGGTGACAATTTCAAATATTATTTATCATATTTAAAACATGTCGGTACTGCGCCAATTTATACGGTGTTTGACGGTGTTTAATCTTGCAGTAACATTCTACATATATTAAAAATCAACAAATTGGGACTTATTTATGCAATTTAAAATACTATTTCAATAAAAAAATATTTTTTTTCGGAATCAAATGTAAAAGTATTCCTAATTTGCTTCATTGCATAAAAATTTATGATAAGTGTTCTTATTTTTTATTTATCGGTTATTAGTAGAACTTAAAAACTAAGGTGCATGATATAAAGTCATTGCTATGCACAGATCACGCCTTTATTAGAGATATTTCTGAGCTTATTATAAATTAGAAACAGTGAAAAATTCTCGAACACAAAATTTTCTCTCTTGCTTCTCATACTTATCACATCCAACGATTTATGCTATAAGAAGTATCGTTTGGGATTGTAATAAATTATAAATAGCATGTAAGCTCATACTTCTTCATTATCATGATAGCCTTTACGATATAAATCGGGTGCTTTCTTTAATTTCTTCCGTAATTCTTTATTTTAATCATCTGATAATTATGGCCAAAGTCCACGGTTGAAGTGAAAAATCTATAATACTTACAAATGTAACAAAGCAATCTGTGATTCTTTGTAAGGAATTGCATTGTGAAGAGAAATTTTTTTAAAAGAAAAACGGAAATGACAAAATTTTTGGATCGATGTTTCGCAAGTACAGATCTTTACCCTTTTTATTCGAAATTCCATAAGGAAATGGTTACAGGTTTCTAGGTCATTGAGTAACGTAAACAACGGATATAATTAGTATTTTTTTAATGCGTACTTTAATTTATTGTTAGTTTGATGAAATAAGGACATAAAGCTTTGTTTGTGATAACAACAAAATTTTACAAAATATGTTTTGCAGTTATTTTGCTTAGAATGTAAACCAATTAAATCCATCACCTTTTAATATGTTTAAATGTACAAGAAAGATTAAATACATTTTCTTAAGAGGGAATAAACGCGAATTTTTGAATATAAAAAGTAAACTTGCTTTGCATTTAATTTTCTCAAAACAAATTTTTTTACTCTGTTTTTTTTTTTCCTCTCTCTCTCTTTCAAGACGACGGCTAATAAAATAAATATACTATAAATAAAAAGGTTTTACTTTTTTTTTTTTTTTTTTATATACATATATTTTAAAAAAGTGATATAATAAACCTAGAACTTGTTGTTTCGTTCATAACTAGTTCATAACGAAGGCACTAAAGTGCAACTTACAAATTTCCTTTTTTTAGAAAAAAAAAAAAAAAATAAAAAAAATCATTGAACTTTTTTTAGTATTAAAAAAGTTATCCAGCTTATAAAAATCATGCCCACCACCACCACACCCACCACTATCATTACTGCCACCACCGCGGTTTCTCGTTTGCCCTCACGACTTCCCGCAAAATCTAGCAGTAATATAAATGAAATTTCAACTGGACAACAGAAATCTCCTACCATGCCTTCAAAATTACAAAAGGGCTTGGTAAAAACGAACCTGAAACCGTCGTCTGCTGGTATAAATAATGTTCCTTCTATCCTTCCGTCCACTACGCAATTACCATTATCACCAATAACCACTAGCAACACTCAGATTGGCTCCGCCGCAGCAACCACGACCGCGGATCATACGAAAACAAAATTGCCTCTCAAGACGAACGTTGATGCTATGAATAAGACCTCTCCGGTAAGCAGTTTGCTTCCTACTCCAAAATCCAGTATTTCTTATTCTTCAATCGCAAATGATATAAGCCCCATAAAGAGAAATTCGACTAAACCTTCCCGCCAAGCTTCCTTATTGAAGCGAAAAAATGATGATACTCGTACGCAATTTGGTCGTAATGTACGTGTTGCTCCTTTCCCACATAACCGAAAATCCATCATCCAAACTCCAAAGTATATCTCGAAAAACATTGTTAATAAGAAGGCTAAAGCTGTACAACAACCTCGAATCTCCAAGAAGAAATCTACAAATTCCATTGAAGCTCAAAGTAAAGTCGAAATCAACGAACTCCGTACAGAAAATACCAAATTACTCTCAGAAGTTGAAATGCTCCGAGCCGAAAATGAGAAGTTACAGGCGGAAAAGAAGGAACTCATGCAAGAAAAAGGTTTGTTGATTGTTGATGTTTGTCAAATGGAACATCGTTTAGCTTGTGAAGATTCACGTGTTATCGAGTTAGAAGAGGACGTTGCAGATTTACGTAAAAATTGTAGTGTATTAAAAAGAGAAAATGATCAAATAGATCGCGACCGTACCCATTTTCGAAACGAATTGGATATTGCCAATAACTTGATTATTGAGCAAGCTACCACGATGTCCGACCAGCAATCTCTCATCGAAGAACTCATGACCCAAATAGACGAACAAGAACGCGTTTGTCAAGACCTCCAGAATGCCATCGACACTTTCAAAACGGGTCATACCCTTAACGATAAATCCGTTCCCAAAGAAAACGAAAAAATCTAACCCAGGCACATCGTTATCAATAAATACACTAGGGTACATACATGAGCAGCGCTCGGATCTCGCGTAAGATGAGAAGGAACCTCTAATTTTTATTTTTTTTAAAAAAAGCCCTTCTATAACTTTTAAAATATCCTTTTTCATTCGATTATCTTGACGGAACTAATTCTCAATTTAATTTTGCATGCGTCATTGGACACTAAACGTAACTTTCATTCCTTTCTTTTTCTTGCCATTACTCTATCTAACGAATTTAATGTTGGTTCTTTTTCTTTAAATTTTTGTTTTATTTAATTACTATTATTATAATATTCTCGTCATTCTATAAATGAATTTAAAATTTTTTACGCATAAATCATTGTGTATGAGCAAAACCTGTTTTTCTCTGACATAATAATTTGGCTGAAACTGTGAATAAAGCTCATTTTAAGCTGACATTTCTAATGAAATAAATTCAATCATTATTAGATTGGGACAAATATATAAATTCAGTTTTATATAAAATAAAAGTTTAATTCATACAAAAGCGAGAAGAAATAAGGATTTTTTCATAATGCACGTATCGTCTTTGAGTTTCAACGTATTTTTCTTGCTCAACTTCAGTTAATAAATCGTGTATTTTATTATGTATTTTCCAAAAGTTGTGTTAATATTAATTTATTCAAACATTATAAATGAAAAAAAATATATTTAATAATTTTAATTAGATAATAATATTATGGGAGAATGTTAATATAAAAGATAAATTATTATTATAAATCTAAATCTAAGAAATTAATTACATTTTATTTTATAATCTAAATGAATTCTTTAATCTAATAATTCGTCTTTCCCACAGCAAAACCAATTTTTCTTTGATTTCTTTTTCTTTTCGGTGTTCGTTGTTGAACGCGTAAGGTTATTTGATTCTACAGTTTTAATTTCATCCGAACTTTCTTTCTTTTTCTTTTCGATTTCAATACTATAAAATGACAAGATAAATTCGAGAGCAATAAATTATGAGATTAATGAAGTAAATGTAAACTAACAATAATTAACAATTTAAACGGGCGAGTCTCGTGATTCATAACATTAAATAAAGTTTTATTGAACGGTAAACAATATAACTAACTACGTAACAAATCATTGATAAAATTACAAAAATAGCATTCTATTTAAAACGGGAAAGTCTTAAAATATAGTAAAATTAAATTATTTGTATTGATTGCTTACACTTTCTTCCCCTTCACATAGGTTGATACAACCTGGGCAAAATGTTTGCCTTGATCCTTTGCTATTTCTTTTTCTCTATCTGAAATAGGGCGGGAAGCGTCCGATCTAATTATTACAATAAAAGAAGTTAGAAAAATCATTGAATTTTCGCTAAAAAAAAAAAAAAATATCCGTATACATACCCAGTTATTGTGCCACTTCCCCATGGACCACCTCCGATAACTTCATCGGTTTGACCAAAGTAAGGTAATTTGCTTACAAGGGGAACGAAAATGATTCCATGATGAGCTAAATACGTGATGGCAGTGAAAGCCGTGGTTTCTTGTCCACCATGTTGAGTTGCAGTAGAAGAAAAGATTCCGGCAAATTTGTTATTCAAACTACCACCGGACCATAAATGACCAGTGCTATCCAAAAATGCTTTGAATTGAGCTGGCATAGAACCGAATCTAGTTGGGAATCCAAACAAGAACCCATCGGCTTCAGCTAATTTATCGGCTTTTGGTAATTAAAGAATATTTTGTTAGTTTTATTAATAAACCATATAGAGATATGAAAAATTTGGATAGTATGTTTTACCTGTAATAATTGGAAGTTCTGGCTTGGGTGGAGCGTGCATTTTGGTTAAAACTTCTTGAGGAAGAGTTTCGGGCACTTGGTACAATTCTATTTCAATGCTTGAGTCAAATGTTTCAGTTCCCTTCTTGATCTCTTGAGCCAATTGGTAGACATGAGTATACATGGAATAGCTAATATAATCGGTATAGAAATTTAATTAGGATTCGGAAATTAAATTATTGTCAAAAAAAAATCCTCATTTGATTACTCACATGACAATAACGATTTTAACCATTTTTAGAATTTTTATTGTTTAAAGTTTTTATTTTTTAATTTTTGTTTTTATAACTGATTTGTTGGGATAGAAGTTTTTAAAACTGCAATTTTTAAACTCCCTTATATACGTTTTCTCGACTATATGGCATTTAATTACAAATGCTTTTTGGCAAATCAATTATTATTAATCAAAGATCTTCAAGATTAAAATTATAAATCAAACAAATAATGATTCACGTGATATAAAATCTTAATAAAATAATAATCGACACGTGGATTAATAATCAAGTCGCATATTTAAAAATTTTCACGTTATTAATTTCATTTCGTTTATCATTGGAAATTAATCCCGTTTAAGAACACTCTATAGCCATTATTCCAAGTTTAGTGATTAGAAATATATTATATAATATTCGCAAGAAAAAAATTTTTTTTCGAAGAGTGAATTTCCAATTTGACACAGGTACACGGGACCCTGGTACACGGTCGGCCAATTCAATTATCCGATACCAACCATAATAAGTAACCGTTATATTTATACAATTTCCCTTTTCTAATGCTTCAATAACTGGGTTATAAAAAAATTTTTTTTACGCCAATACAATAACAAAGAATAATCGAAAAATTATTTTTGTAATCTTACGTTTTGTGCCTGCTTGCAAGTTGTAACAAAACCTAAATATATCATGATTGAGTTACATAATGTTTGTCTTATATTTGCTAGCATATTAAGTTTATTTTGACGATCAATATTTGAAACAGATAATTTAAGTTTGTGAAAAGTATATGCTATGTAAATTTTATATTACTCATGTGAGAAAAGCTGTAAAAAGTATAATAAAGTTTGAAATTTAAATCGTCATTATTAAGTGTTTATTATAAAGTTAAAAATTTTTTCACATTTATTCATGCTAGAATAAACGCCCACTTTTCTTTTCTTAACATTAGATGATATTTCGCGTATATTTTACAACTTCTCATACAGTAATATATATATTTCTTTCTAATTTAAAAATTTATCTAACAATGTTTCAAAATAAAACAAACCTGATCCCTGTGCCCAAAAATGATTTAAGGGAGAACGTTTCTCCAATTCGTTCTTCGTCGTCACATGAAAGTTCTTTGAGTAATCTTGACAATGTTTCTTTGGGACAAGCCGGAAATATTCGATGGGGAAATGGATCAAAATTTTCTTATTATGACAGGTATCAACATATGCGTCTTTCAAAGCATTCAACGTTCTATCGAATATATAAATAATCAATAGTGTAAAGTATCTTGATAATCTAACGATGAATATTTAAAAAAATACTAAAGGTTTATTCCTATCAGAAACGAAGATATGATATCCGAGTTCCAGAGAAGTTCTGTATCCAAATCACAAAAGCGGAAAAGAAAATCATCTGAAGATCAGGGTAAATAATTATATACAGTATATGTAAATTGTAAAAGCTTCAGTTTACTTAAACCTTTTTCGCGATTTCTCTCCGCAGAAAGTGACCATCTTCGCAAAATAATTGTGCAAGAAATCATGTTCCCGACTCGTTCTACTAATGACGAGATTATCAAACGCATTAATGACAGTTCGGTTTCTTTTACCGATAATATTTTGAATTATCGAAAGTCGTTTAATCAACGACCCAGCATAATCGATACACCCCATAGAGAAGCTTACGCTACTACTCTTTTCTCGTATCAAGTTGAGGAATTGATGATAGCTCCACAAAAGCCTTACAGAAAAATTAATTCGCGACCATATCAAATGCTTGCGTTCTGCAATGAATTGATGCTCAAGGTTAACACTATTAACATACATCCATATTATTTTTATTTCATTAGATGTGTATCAATATTTACATATTACTTTTCTTGTTAGGATGATTTTTATTTGAACGTTGTTGATTGGTCTTCGTTTAATATGTTGAGTCTGGGGTTAGATTCTAATGTTTATTTATGGAATTCAGGAAATTCAAAGGTTTGTATGTAAATAAATTTTAAGGGGTTTATTTTTGTTTTATTCTAATATACGTGAAAAAATTATCGGAATTTTAGATGACAAAGTTATGCGATTTGGGACTTCCACATGTTATTTCGTCTGTCAAATGGTTTCCTCAGGTATGTACTGTATGTACTGTACGTGATCATTATTTTAATACATATATCGAGTAAAATTCTAAATCTGCCATTAATATTCTCGAATTTTTTTTTTTTATAGAACTATCAACTTGCTATTGGAACTGCAGAAGGAAAAGTTCAAATTTGGGACACTCAGAAACTTATGAAAGTTCGCGAGTTTCATGGACATAAGTCACGTGTCGGTAAGTTCTTTGGCGGTAAATCTTTTTTTTTTACCAAATAAACTCTTTTTAAAACTTAATTATTTTAAAGGAACACTTGCATGGAATGGAAACATATTAAGCTCGGGTAGTGGAGATCGTATTATTTATCATAGGGATCAAAGGTGTCCAAATAACAACGTTCAATCTTCCATAGGACATAAATCCGAGGTATAGATATTTTTTAATTCACGAAAACATTCTATAAATTCTTACTTTATAATTTCATGACCTAGATTTGTGGATTGAAATGGAACTTCGAAGGAGACCAATTGGCGAGCGGGGGTAATGCCAACGAGCTATTAATCTGGGAAGGCATGAATCCTACCCCGGCTCGAAAGTTAGAAGGTCATAATGCTGCGGTTCGTGCTATTTCGTGGAGTCCTCACGTTCGTAACTTATTAGTCAGCGGGGGCGGTCATTTGGATCGGCAGATCCGTTTCTGGAACACAATGGATGGTAGATCTTTGGGATGTTACAATGCAAAGTCTCAGGTTGATCCATCTTCAATCTTTTACCAATTTGTCATCTTTTAATTACTAATTCTTTTTAAACCCTTCTTTTGACATAGATTTGTAATCTTCAATGGTCTTTAACGGCAAATGAAATCGTTTCAACACACGGATGGTGGAAAAATGATGTTATTGTTTGGAAGTACCCATCAATGCAAAGGATTGCCACGTTAAAGGGACATACTTATCGTGTTCTTTATTTTTCCCTTTCGCCAAATGGAGAAGATATCGTGACAGGAGCAGGTGGTGACGACAATACGTTGAGATTCTGGAAGATTTTTAACAATCCAAATAAGATTAAGAGAAGAGTGAAGAAGTCCACATTGAAACCTGATGGACTTATTCGTTAAATGAGCTTTTTTCAATTTTTTATACATGTTAATAATGTTACGTTATTATTTATTTGTAATTATCTGAAAATTTGTATATTTATATTTGTAAGGTACACCAAAAATGTTAACAACATAATCACATAATCAAGAAATTTAAAAATTGATCACATTTCTCACAAAGTAAATGTGGCATGAGATGAATCATTTATTATGACTCATTAATCGAACTATTAATAGGTTGACGGAAATTAAGTTAATTCTCTAGTTAGTGATTGGAAATCGGTTTTTGACCTTTGGGGTTATATGATTTCCCCGGTTCGGATAGGATTTATTTTTACAGTTATCATATATCATGGCGCAATTTTGGCGATACAAAACCGGATATAATAAGTCGGATATAATGAGAATTCGAATATATAGTTTCATACTATGTATTAGCAAATAATTAAATCTAGAGAATAAAAGATTGCACTGATGAAAATTTACAACTTATAATTTAATAATAATAATTGTATTTGATTAACGTATTTGTTAAAGAATTAAGGATTTTCAGGTTAGAAAGAATGTAGAATTACATCGATCTTTAACGGGATTAAATGTTTTTATGTTATTAATTTCAAACATAAAATGAATTGGACAAAATTAACAAATTTCGGCACTTAAAGGTTTTTACCGCGATTATAAAAATCAATGCAATAAAACTCGGAAAATCTAAAAAAGTTTTTAATACAAGCAAATCATAGAAAATTCATCATCTCAGAAAATGTGGAACCATTTACAGAAATTCAAAACATTGATAAGTTTAAACGGTACGTCGTTAAGTTAACAGAACGTATTTGCTAACAGGGAGTTTAAAGTTTAATTACGTCTAAACTAAACACGAATTAATTATATTGGAGGATTAGGTCGTCTTTATTGATATAGATTTAAAGAAAAATGAATTATAAACGAGCAAAGATTAAGTTTTAGAGATAAATGGTATTGTTTTATTAGAGATTTGTAGCGAACTCTGCCATTTATTAGGGAGGATATTTATATAAATACATCAATAAAAATAGATATTTAATAAAGTAAAGAAAAGTAAGAAATATAATAAAATAAATAAAAATAAAAAAAAATTTATTATTGAAACGTAAGAATTATAGACCTCTAAGAAATTATAGACGTTATAGAAATTTTTTAACAACTGCGCCTCAAAGATTGTGACACACGTGATTTTGGCTTTCAAAGCATTTTATAATTGGATCTGGAGCATTTTCTTTGGTTTTTGATGCATGCTTGAAAGGAAAAAAATACAAAAATTTGCAATTAAAAAATTCGCCGAAGGTTTTAAAGAAATTATTCTAAATGAGGTTTGTTGTTTTGTTATTTGTGTAGTTTTTTTGTTTTTGATGATATTTTTTAAATGAAAAAAGCGGTTTTACGAAAACTTTCTAATGTAATTGGGAAATTCAATTGACATTTGCTCAAGATATTGTAAGTGCTATATTATGCTTACATGATCATAAAATTGCATATCGAGATCTTGTATGTTTAATCAAATTAATGGTTTTTTTTATTAAAGAATCCCAATAATAACTTAATTCATAAGGGAAATAAAATTAGGTGTTCAGATCAGATTTCTATACCACAGAATCACTTGGTGTAATCCCTCATATTGATCCTAAATTTTTGGACGAAAATCTAATATATAGTTTGGGAGTATATCTAGAAATTACAAAAATCTATTTCCGGTTATTCTGGATATATTGAAATCCGGAATTTGTCCTTCCGGATCTTTTAAGATTTTTCATAAGGATTTAAAGGTGTGCGTTTAGCATAATAGTAAACTTCTGAACATTACTATAAATCCTTCATAGACTTAATTACAAGTTAGAAATTGTTGAAGAAACTGCTAAAATAATGAGGATGCTTTTAAACATTTTAGGTAATCTTATAGGAACTAACATACTATCACCATGACAGCATAATTGATTAAAGAATTTGATGACCGATAAGCAGGATCAAATCTACGCAAATAAAGAATTTGTTCTTTCTTGACAAATATTTTCGCTTTGTTGAGTTAAATAAGAGAATAATAAATCACGTGCATTAAATTATAATACATTTAATACATTTTGCATTGCATTGCATATCGAAATTTATATAAAAACCCACAAATAATTATATTGTTAACGGTTTTGCAATATTCATCTCTTTCACTTCTCTACCTAATAAACTGTTAAAAGTTCCATCAACAACTA